GGGGGGGGGAAGGGGATGTAAGCATTTTTTGAAGATAGATCTGAAGTCCAGGTACCACCAGATAGACATAACAGAAAAATATCAGCATAAGACCCCATTCCGTACACGCATCGGAAACTTCGAGTTCACAGTGATGCCATTCAGACTAGCAAACACCTCGGCCATTTGCTTACGTTGCCATGTTGTATGAGGCACTCCGTATGTGGCCATATTATCATCTAGGTACGACACATCAGGGTATAATACTCAGACCACCAGATGCCTCGACGGTCGAAGACGTAGTCTAGACTTTCCACTATGTTAGCTGGATGGTTACAGGAGGTCGGCACTCGACCCTTTTGAGTCGAAACTAGTCAAGGGAAATATAATGTCGTAGCTGATGCATAATCTCGATTGCAAACTTCATTTGCGCCATCGTAACCTAACGGGGATGCAGGAAAAGAAGTGCGGCAGAAAAGTAGCGACACATCTGCAGCAGGCCCCGCGCTAAGTGAGGTAGTAGGTCTTGTTAGATAGAAACCTTACGATGTGCCCATGTACCAAATGATGGACGGGTTGTTATCTCTCACATCCAACGGTCAAGATAGACTACGCATTCCAAACAATGCCGAAATCAGTAGCGTTGTATCCGGAGAGTGCCATGATGCAAGGAGGACACTTTGGATAGAGGAAGACTTCACACAAAGCATGCTTCCTCTGCATAATTGGACTGGGATGCATGCCGCCTGCATTTATATGTAGGGGTTCAACCCAAGCACCCTCAGGATTGCGGAAACCACACCCTATTCTCTGGGAACCTGGAGAATAGGTCCCAATCAACTCATGGATGCAAAAGTCAGAAGCAGAAGAGGGGACACAAGTCATGGTAGGAGCATGAGGAGGAGGAGGAGGAGGAGGAGGAGGAGGAGGAGGAATAGGTTCCCAATCATTCAAACAATTTTCCACGTTGTCATATAGGTTTTGCATCTCTCGTGTGCCGGAGTGAGCGCATGCTGTTCGAACTGTGGGCTCATTGCAGAATTTTCCACTTGTATCCTATGTTGATGCAAATTATGCAATCTAATTGTATAATATCATATTTCCCCTTTTAATTTGGACAATTTTCTTGCTTTATGTGTGTCATCCTTGCGCCGGGGCCATGCTAATCTTCTTTCTCTGTAAGGTTCCAATTTGAATAGATGTCCCAAAGGACAAATACATAATGATTTTTTTTTGTGTCTGTATAAATGTATATTCCCTATTAGATTGATTACAAGAAACACCCCTCATGTTACCACAACCGCTATGTCCATAGAGTCCATCGTATCCATACTATGTATGTTTGTCTGTGGGGTTACAAACTGATTGAGCGAAGTGTGCGAGAAATGCCATGTCCGTGTGGTGTTGTGTGTGGTGTGCGTTGAGCTAGACACTACAGCCTTGCAGGGGTGCGGTGGATATCACGACTGCTATGGTTTGACTTTTAGACACCGTGTCCTGGCTGTAGTGGTTAAGATAGTTGGCTCTTGAGGCCGAGGTCGCTGGTTCGAATCTGTGCTTGAATGGAGGAGGTCCTAGGCCCAGATATGCGGATCCATGAACGACACTGTCTGTGCCATAGTAACGTGGGGTATGGTGAGTACTATGTCCTTAGTCTGCACTGCTATGTCCATAGACTCCATAGCATCGATGCTATGTATGTTTGTCTGTGCCATAGTAAACATTGATGTGTAATGACCCGCCAAAAACACAGACTGAGAACACTGCCGATTTCTGGGATTTGTCACTAGAATGGATGCCTTGTTGTGATTCCCGTTTTCTGCTGTGGTTCCAAGTCTGTGTGTGTGCGTGCCTGCTGGTTGCATGCCTGTCTGAGTGCTTGCTGGTTGTGTGTGTGTGCGTGCATGCCTGTCTGAGTGCTTGCCGGTGGGGTATGTGTGCGTTTGACCCGCAAGGGTACTTGTTGGTTGCAAGGCCCACCGGGCCGGTACTTACCTGTGGCCGTGACTCTGGAGGGTTGCAGGGGGGTAAAACACGCCGGTAGCGGGAGGTAGGCCCACGGCACTTAGAGCAGCTGGGGAAAACACTCAAGTAGCAGGTAGGACGAGCAGAAGAAGACAAAAAGTTGGCATTTTTAGAGGTCCAGTAGCGGTAGGTTGGGGGTAGGCCGGTACCAGTCCAAGTAGCCCGGGTCTAGGGCCTGTGCGGACAATAACAGAGCCTGCAATGATGTTTCCCTCCAAAAGGGAGGAGGTACCGGTTGCCTGGGAGGCCGCTTGGCCTGGAAAGTCACCGCCCAGGAGGCCGGTAGGCCACTATATCTTCAGGAAGAGCGGAAGGCTCTTCCTCATTTGCGGTATGCAAGGATTGGCGACATGCTGCTGGAGCGCAGCGCTGGTCTGAAGCAGCGCTGCTTGGAGGTGAAGGTCTGCTGGGGCAGCCTGGCTATGGCGAGCACCCCAGCTTGAAGGAGGAAGAAGGGGGGCATGGTAGGAGAGTGGTAGGGCACTTACCTGGCTATGGTGGACACCGTCTTCATTACCTTGTTGGGCGCTGCATCTGGACGGCCCCAGTTGGGGTAACGCTGCACCAGGGCAGCTCGAGGCAGAGTCAGGCATAGCGGACCAAGTCAAGCAGCGACATAGCTGCTTTGAGTTGTCTTTCGGTCATCAGGGCAGCATCATAGCTGCCTTCCAGTAGTCCGCCATGGCCTATGCTTGAGAGAAGAGGTTGAAGGAGGGAAGACATAGCCATGGTGGACTTGTTGTTGTTGTTGTTGTTGTTGTTGTTGT